TATCTTTCAAGAAAACAGCACTGACTTTTGGATTGGCCTGAATGACTTGATAAATGAGGGCATATTCGTCTGGACAGACAACAGTCCTCACAGATACACCAACTGGAATGTCACTGAAGCTTCAAAATATAACCGGTCCAGGGATTGCGTACAAATGAATCCTCAAACAGATGAGGGAAGATGGAGGACTGCGTCATGTCGTCAAAGGAAAGGGTTCATCTGTGAGACAGGTTTGTGATGAAGAAACTGATGTTTTACCACAATTGACGGTTATGTCGCAATCGGATTAGCAATTTTGCCGTTGTCGATAAGAGTTCAGACAACCGCTACCCGCGCCAACGTGTGACGCAATGGTCACGCAGTGAAAGAATGATAACCATAAAAAAAAACAAAAAAACTCAAGACTGCAAATGCATAACAAAAAAAAAGGAAATGAATGAAAAGGTAAAATAAATGCAGAGCTCGTCAGCTTATATTCTCTCTCAAGATATGCTTTTTCAACTCACGGCCTGATGAAATTATTTCTCCAGGTTGTATTTACAAGACAGATAGCTAATGCAACCATTTAGCCATTCGCATATACTGAGGTTTTCCTTTGCTTTTCACAGAGGCTCTTCCAGTTCTTCCAACTTCTAACCGACCCCTTGGTGAGATTCTTACTTTTGTATCTAATTAACCAATTTATCGATTATTCAGTGGAGGTTTGAATTTAACCTTGACCGTTGGATGTGCCTTTTTTGTTTGTTTGTTTTGTTTAGTTTTAACAGAGGCTCTTTCAATTCTTCCAACTTCTAACCGAACGTTTGGTGAGATTTTTACTATTGTATCTAATTAACCATTTCATCGATTAAACAAGCACAGCCAACGGTCAAGGTTAAAACCTTGACCGTTGGCTGTGCTTGTTTCTTTTGTTTGTTTGTTGGTTCGCAACTTAGTAACTTCGCTCGTAAGTGGCTAACTTCGGATCACATCTCAGTAACTTGCAATGGCAACATAGTGACCTGCGATTGCAACTTAAACTTGGCGTCACTCGGTGACTTACAATAAAAATATGGCAACTTGCAATGGTTACTTAGTAAATTGCAAAAGAAATTTAGAAGCTTGCCATGGTATTTTAGTAACTTGCACTGAATAGCAACTTAGTAAGTTGCAATGGTAGCTTAGTAAGTTGTGAAGGCAATTTAGTAACTTGCCATGGTATTTTTAGAACTTGCAACAGCAAATTAGCAATTTGCCATAGCAATTTAGTAACTTGCTATTGTATTTTAGTAACTTGCAATAGTAATTTATTAATTTGCAAGGGCAATTTTGAATTTTAAAGTGACAATTCAGGAATTTGCCATCTTATTTTGGTAACTTGCGATGGTCACTCAATAACTTGAAATGGCAATGTAGTAACTTGCCATGATATTTTGGTAACTTACAGTAGCAAATAAATAATTTGCAGTGGCAATTTAGTACTTTGCAATGGCAATTTAAGAATTTTCCTTTGTATTCTAGAAACTTTGAATAGCTTTTTAGTAACTTGTAATAGTAATTTGGTAGCTTGCCATGGTATTTTAGTAACTTGCAATAGCAACTTAGTAAGTTGCAAAGATAACTTAGTAACTTGTGAAGGCAGTTTAGTAAAACAATAAGAACACTAATGCGGCCTTGAATTACTGTAAAATATTGTAAAATATCTTAGAAAAAAATCGTAAAATATCGTAAAATATTTACAGTATTTTACAATATTTTACAGTAATTCAAGGCCGCATTAATGTTCTTATTGTTTTACAAAATGTTACTGAAGGACAACATTCGAAGATTGGCAGTTTAGTAACTTGCCATGGTATTTTTATAATTTGCAATAGCAAATTAGCAATTTGCCGTAGCAATTTAAGAATTTGCCTTTGTATTCGACTAATAGTTTTTAATGGCTATTTAGTAACTTGCAATAGCAATTTAGTAACTTGCCATGGTATTACGGGAACCTATTATAGCAACTAAGCAATTTGCAACAACAAACATATGAAACATATGTGTGAACTGCGGTTATGAGACGTATATGAGAACGATCCTTCGCAGTAAAGCACTATTTGAGCAATAGTGAAAATCAGACCTGAAAAAAATTTCAGGCCTGTACGGGATTCGAACCACTGACCTCTGCGATACTAGTGCAGCGCTCTACCAATTGAGCTAACAAGCCAACTGGGAGCAGGCCATCAAATTAATTCGATAGCAATTAGCAATTAATTCGAAAGCAATTTGCAGTGGCAATTTAGTATTTTGCAACGGCAATTTAAGAATTTGCCTTTGTATTCTAGTAACTTTCAATGGCTATTTAGTAACTTGCGATAGCATTTTAGTAACTTGCCATGGTATTCTAGGAACTTACAATAGCAACTAAGCAATTTGCTGTGGAAATTTAGTGAGTTGCTAATTGATTTCCTTTTTATGACCTTTGTATTTGCGGTCACTAACTCGAACCTTGGTGGTGTATTATTAAGTTCATAAGAAACATTTTTGATTTGTGCGGAACGAATTTACTTAATTTCTACTTTCCTTCCAACCCCCTGTGCTTTCAAGTGAGACATGCCCTGCTCACTTCCGCATAGGCTTCCCAGGATCGTGTAATTTTGGTATATGAGGTATAACATTTTAACATTTTAAGTGGGTTTAAAGCTGTCTTTGAATCAGAAAATTGAAGAAGCATCTTATTGAATAAAGAGATGCTAATTGAAACTAATACGTACAAATATATGGAATTGAACGAAAACTATAGAAATTTTCGCACGCTCATTGGTCGATAACTATTCAGTGTCAATAAGGTTATAGACGAGAAAGATGACATATCATGTCACGCAGCCATCGGTAACCCTCGCTATGACGGGCAAAAAATTCATCTCGTGATAACACTGTTAATTTCTGAGATATGGATGGTAATAATCTTCCGAATTTGAAGAAGGGTATATTATGAGAAATTTTTTGAATAAGAACTTGTCGAGGTGGAAGAAAGCGGGCGAGTATATATTCAGAAATAGAAATTCAGTCCTCGGTTCGGAAATTCGAAAGACGGACAACCTCGTAGAAATACTTACCGATCCCGAGGCAAACGTCTCAAAAATTAAAACCAAGAGGGAAATAGAAAACAATTATGGGTAGCAGGGTCTATTGCCTTCCATTTCTTACTGGTATTTCATTATAAAAGTCATTATATAACTCAAATTAAAACAGACAACAAAGCAACGATCGATTTTTGGAAAAACATTTGGTGCATCAATATTCAGCTGGCATAAATATTTCATTGTTATGGTTAAAAATATAAATTGAATAAAATTTTCAGTGTCTATAACCTTATTGTTCATAGAAATTGCTTAAAAAATGTTCAAAACTTTGTAATTAAACCAATTTGCTGCGCCGATGGATAATTTCATTTTAACTTTGGACATTGTTAACGCCCTCTATGTGATCAATAAGGTTATAGGCAATGGAAAATTGTGGCCAATTTGTTGAGGAGATGGGTCGTCATCATGTATCTACCATGTGTTGAGTGAATTGTGGCCATATTGTCGAGTCACATGATATTGTGAGACCTTTTATGTATTCGTCATATTTAAAATGTCCTTACTAAATTCGCATTTTTATAAGAGTCAATGCTTTTTTGAATATTTAGTGCAGACCCAACTTTACATTATCAGTCTCATGAGAAATTTCAAAACCCTGTTGAATAAAAAATGTTAACCGATGGGTACAAACAGATACTTTGAGGTTTGAGATTAAAAGTTTGTCTTTTGATTCTATAAATGAATTTTTTTTTTGCGTAGATGCAAAAAAAATAAAAGTAATTATAACCACTGATGATGCAAATCATTTATTTTTTTCTCCGACGGTAAGATGTTTTCTTTGCCAGGGCTAAACGTTTTTGAAGATATGTTGAGAAAAAAAAAAGATATGACTGAGGCTTTTTCTCCCAACTATGTGCGCTTTAATTGTTATCATCCTATTGCAATCACAATTCACTGAACATTTGACTTTACTGCTCATCATAAAACTATTTACGCAATAAAAACTAACAAGATGAAACCATTTTATATTGGTTTCGTAATAACCTGACGTATTATTTTGTGAAGACCGTGACATCACAATACTCCTAATACCATTTTCTACTTCCTTACATATGGTAACAAATATTTTTCTCTCCTTCGTGTGTTCCGGTTTACTTATTATTATTTATTAACACACTGTAGTGATGTAAGTAAACCGCTAAGTAACTAGTCAAAACACTTGTGCAATATAGATACGGGCAAATCAGATTTTGGAAAAATGTTGTCACGATCGATATCTCTCTTATTTTAGCCAGCGAGACCCAGAGTGTGAGGCTCAACCAAGCTCTTCTGCGAAATTCGATGAGGTCCCTGTTGAGTCCTTTAGCAAGTGTAAAGCGCAGCTACAGAGTATATGAATTCATAGATAAATGCAAAGCAAAACTCAGTTGCTTCTTCTGCAATATCCTTTCTCTTCGACAGTTGTGATGATATTTGAGTAATATAGTTAAAGGCTTTTGTTTTTAAGATGCCTGGAAACCAAGTATTGTACCCGTTTTCTTGTTCCTAGCCATTGTTAGCCATATAAAACTGTTAGTATCATGGGCTTTGGGAATTAAGGGAAAATCTCGCCCACTAGTGGGCAATCGCAGCACCCGAGAAATGTCAGCCTTGAGATATGTTACGTTTTGTTTTATTTTTTCCTATAGCATTCTGAAAAATGAAATATCTGCCATCGTTCATTACTAATTTGTTGTTTGGTTTTTGTCGTATTTAGTTGGGCTTCCTTGTTTTCACCAATATGACGTGTTTTCCTATGCCGAAGTTTTCCTTTGAAGTGGTCACATGTTTGGATTTTAACCCCATGGGGATATTAAATGACCAATGGTAATCAGTGTGGTTTTGCATCATGATCTTATTATCGCTGCTAGACATTAGTCAGTTAATACATGAGGTTTGCTTGTGATACTTTATTTGTGGAATATCTGCTCAAAAAGGTTTGTGAAAACTACAAGCTGTCAGCAACAACAGGAAGATTTCAACTGCTAAAACTACCAGTCTGCAGCGTGCGTAAGTGGAGGAAATTTTCTCGTAATTCCTTTAGAGTATTTATCTACCCACTAACAAACGAGCAGATGGAATGAGTTCGCTTTAAGGGATGATGTAAAACTACACACCATTGGATCAGTTTGGATAGCTGTACCGGTCCATGAAATTATAAACACCTTCACAACATGACAGTGACTGGAAACCGAAACATTTCTACTCTTAACACCGCCAAAATAAGCAAAGGCGGATATTAGCTTTAAGAAGAATTGAAAAGAAAAAAAAATAGGCATGGTAGGTAATCGTGTTCCCTTTCAAATGAGGTATAGTGCAAAGCTGACTATCGGCTTTTGTTTCATGGTACGAGTTTGTTGGTGTACGTGATATGCTTGCGGATAGAGGTATGCCTTTGGATAGAACCTAGTTCGCTTCTTAATGTTACATAATCATTTGCGCAATGTTTGCGCAATGTTTGCCCATTGAAAGTCTGTGTTATCCTCGACATCACCTGAGATCAGTCAGGGCTGGTACCAAAAACGGTTTCCCCTTCGAACTTCTTGCAGGAGCGCAGAGTTTCTTGTTGTTCCTCCAGGTGAGTAAACAGAGTGTTTCATTTTAGGTATAATGAACACTAAATTCCTCGCTGACAACTGTATTGTTTAGGTTTCCAATATCTTCCATGTGACTTAGTATCTTTTCATTTCAGTCTCACTTGGTCGAACTTAAACTCATTCAGACACAATAATGCTCACTTCCCACTTGTTCAAGGTGTTGGTGGTTTGTGTTCTTTTCCTTCTTATTGTTTGCAAAGCAAGGAACATTTCAGGATCAGGTAAGTGAGAACCTACATTTTCACTCGCAATGCCTCGTTGTGAAGATCTTTCTTTCAAGAAAAGCTTTCACTTTTGGCCGTAATTAATATTGGCACGCATGGCGTAGCGATAAGAACGCTCCCCTGACACAGATCGATTCCCAGAACTGGATCGTATGTGATTCGGATTTCCTTTTGGGTTTCGTAGCTCTCAAGGGGAATTTTTCTCCCTCCACAATTATTTAACTTCCAAATGTCAATTCGATCTTGAGAAAGTGGACTTTGTAGACGTAGAAGCACCTCTTGGATTTTCTCATCTTCAGTTTGTAGTTAATTCAACTTAATTTTTGTCTTTACGCCTGTTGAAGAAGGTAGTTCTATTTTCATAAAAGTTTAGAGATATGGGCAGCACCAAAATGTGCTTTATAGCCTGAAATAGTAGTGCGTCAAAGAAACACGAACAGAATGTTATACCTTTTATACTTGTAGCCTATAGTTGTTCTTACATTCAAAACAGGATAGGCTTCATCCAACTCGTGAAGTTGATCAGAACAAAGGATACACTTTATCGAACTCGTGAAGCCGATCAGAACACATAATTCACTTTATCTAACTCGTGAAGCCAATCAGAACACAGAATACACTTTGATTAACTCGTGAAGCCTATTAGAATACAGAATATACTCTCTCTAACTCGTGTAGTAAATCAGGACACAGGGTACGCTTTATCCAACGCGTGTTGTTAATCGTTAAATTATCGTTTTCGTGGCGGGGAGAATAATTATGGAAGGTTGTTATCATGGGTATCTCTTTCTTAACAGCTTATGACATTTGTCACCCTGGAAGGATCCGTTGGAATAACACGTGTTACTTCTTTGCAAATAATTCTGCCTCAAACCGTGTCGCGTGGCAAGATGCTCGACAGACATGTCAGAGAATCCGAGGAGGAGACCTTGTCAGCATTCACAGTGCAGCAGAGAACAACTTTATTGCACTTCATATCTCAGAGTAAGTGCAGTTTAACTCCTCTGCCAAAATTCTCTCTAATTTTGAAATAGATAAAAAAACATAATTTATGAAGCCGTTGAAGTGGGCGAGGGAGAAGATGTGTCTTCGTAAGGAAGTGTAACGTTGGACATTACGAAAAGAACTGTGACAACGTTTTTGCAATCTCTTGGAAAAAATGCAACTTGGTTGCAATGTGTTCAACGCTAGCTGCTTAAAACGAAAAACGTTGAAAGACATTAATCTTATACTCATGCGAAAGTATGGGTGCTAGAAGAAAACAAACATGCGTGCATGTATTTATTGAAGTTAGATCATTTCGTTGTGTTCAGCTTTTGACTGGTGAAACTGACTCTTCGTTGAGTTTTATTCCAAAACAAACGGATCGATTATATGTTATTCGCTTTACGAAAACTATGCTGAGCTTATAAACCGATCACTTAAAATGCTTGCAAAGTTTGAATCATGGTTATTGTTGATGTTATTACATTGAAATCTAGGTTATTCAAGAGTAAACTTGACTCCTAACTTACTATTTAAATCTGTTTTCAAAAGCGTGGAGAAAAGTCGTGCACTGTCTCATCGAATGATTCCGAAAATATGACTGACTGGTTTTGACCTTAATCGTGCGTTGTATCGAACAACCCTCAGTGCATGCGCACTTATTTCCTTACACCTGTCATTTATCAATCATAATAATTTTAATTGTTATTATCATCCTTATTATTACTATAATGTAGTAACTACTGGATTGGACTTAATGACCTCAGAACAGAAGGAAACTTGCAATGGTCCGACGGGTCGTCATTAGTTTACAGTAACTACCAGTTCGGAGAACCAAATGATCACTATGGCCAAGAAGACTGTATGGAAATGAGAGGTGAAGGTCAATGGAACGACCTTAATTGTGGTAGAAATCTGGGCTACGTCTGTAAGCAGACTAAGAGTAAGTTACCAACATAATGAACGTCTCTTACGTCCACTCTCGTTAAAGTTCTATGTCAAGTATGTACGAACCTCACCGCAAGGCCTTATTTAAAACTTAACCCTTAACACCCTAACATCAGTTTGCATATTCTCCATACTATTCTCCATATACATTTCCTAAGGTGCTAATAAGGAGAATTTGTTCGACAAATTAAAAGCTTCTTTCGTTGGTGATCATTTTCTTTTATACTCATGACCTTGATCTGTGATTCCAGGGTGATATTGTAACGAGAACATAGCATCTAGTCACTCTTAGGGGTTAAAGAGTTTTGGTGCTACTAAGAATAATTTAAGTTTGACGGTTTTTTTTTTAAAGTAACAATTTCAACCTCATAGATCCCAAATGACATCTATTAGGCCTTCAGATATCTGGAACTCGGGTTGATTATGGGTTGAAGTGTATTTTGGGAAAGCAACTGGATGTGATTTCAGTGAGCTCGTGATACCTGAGAGCATTCTATTCCTTTGCGAACATGACAAGAAAATATTTTTAATATTACTTTTATGATATGATCAAGCAATTCAAATTCGGGAAAATAAACGCTACAGATATCCATCATATTAACAAAGTCACCGGTATATTTAAGGTCTCTGACCAATTTCTCGGTCCCCTCGTCAATTCTCGTACTGCAGTTTTGCAATTAACTAACCTTCTGCTACCGGGTACATGGTACATTCTTTTGCCCTTCTCTCTCTTATTTTTCTAACCGGTCAGGACTTCTGTTCTCGAGCTGCAAACCTTGAGACGTCGTTTATAGTTCATTTGTTAGCATCTTTTGAGAAGAATTTTCCAACATCGCGCCGGGGAGAGATACGAGCTGATACAATGTTGTATAGAATATTGTGCATGAATTTCATAGCATATTGAAATACTAGTGTTTTTTTTTTTTCGTTAATTAGCAGGAAGTGGGAATTCGTGGCAGTAGTGCTTTAAAAAGTATTCAATTCCATATGCCTTCTATTCCGGCCCCTTGCCAGTTTTTGTTTGGTTGCCTTAAAGTGTTGCTGCGCCAAAGATACGCGTTAAATGTAACATATGACGAATACTATACTGCTCGTCTGAATCAAAATATACCATAATTTGTTTGTGCTTGAAAGTGACGTGTGATCAAAAAAAGAATTCCACTTTGCCTACATTTTTTATGATGTATTCTTACAGATCCATCTGCGATCCCTCAGGCCCTTGTTCCAAGTAAGTATTACCGACATCAGTTATAGGCACTCTACATTTTTAATAAATGTTGTTTCTCTGCCTGTGTTCATACACAAGAGTCAGCATGCATATTTACAACGTTCGGTTTTTATTGCGATAGAGTTATCCCAGTTTTCCGATCTTCTTAAATTTTACTGATCCAGGAATGAAAACAATTACTTTATTGGGTTCAATCTCCCGAAATGGCTTCGTCGCAAATATATCAATGATTAAGCAAACAAAACTTTTTCCGAGTTTACAAAGCCTCATCTGAACTCGAATGAGATTGGAATAAATCTCGGAAGTTATGCAAACCAAGCCAACGTAATCGTGGGTTTGTATATCTTTTGTGAGTTCTCCGTCCCTCTCCCTCCCTTTGAGTTTAGGTAAGGGTATGTAAACAAGGAAAAAGTCCTTAATTGCTTTTATAATGTTTCCCAGAAAGTGCAGTAGCTGACGTCGCAATCGTGTTCGAATATCCTCATCTAAACACACCTATTGAATACTCCCGAGACGTGGTTGAGGAGTTTATCGAATAATGTCTAATGAGAATGACGCAAAATATATTTTAATTATGACTGTCCAGGCAGTAACACAGCAAAAACGCACTTGAGGTTTCATCTTATTAGACTTCTAATGAAAACCAAATTGCAGTGCGTTAAAGAACATGGGCACGTAGACTGGCATATAAATCACTTGGTCAGTCAACGAAGTGCATGCGCCTCAAATTCAAAGAAAGAACAAAAAAAGAGACAAAAAAGATGCACCATATCAAGACACCAATTGTGGCTTGTTAATCCGAAGAGCAAAACACCATTATTTACATTAACGCTGCCGAAATGCAGTACTACAGGATGACTTCAAGGCTGCCGAGATCAAACGTTGAACTTTTCCTGTACTCTAATGTACCAAAGCTAATTCACTCGACTAAGTACATAAGAAAACGGACGCTTGAATTAAGGAACTTCGATATCTTTGATTTTGGTCGCTATAATAAACTTCGAGTCGTGTACTGTAATTGAAATTGATTTAATCTGATTTGTGCATATTTACAGTACAACCTAACCTAGATGCCGATGTCGACGAATGTCTCTTGTCTCGCTAAAAGCACTGATCAAGTTAATGTACATCAATTAGTTTAAAATGTCAATCGATTAGATCAAAGGTCCACTGTACAAACAAAACATTACATAATGAATCGCTAAAACACGCGTCATTTCACGTGGGTCCGCGTGTAACATGTGCGAAGAATCTGACAGTCGCTCCAAGAATTTAATACGAGTGGCACGCACCGGAAGTTCAATTGTAGAGTAACTTCTATTCAAACGACGTTTTCTATGCACCAAACATAATCCATAAATGATTGCTATTTGCCTTCGCTTCCCATGATTCTCTTCTCTTACTTTATAGCATAAGCTCGACATTTTGAGTTTGGGAATCTATTGTTCTGTCGAACTTAATCTCTTAGCCCCACCCAAATAGGTATTTAAGTTTGGTACATGAAAGATTTGAAATGGGCCTAATGATTTTCTTTTTGTTGCTGTGTTTAAGCCCTCGGACAATGTGAGGATGGCTGGGTGAAGTTTGAAAAGAGCTGTTACCGTAGCGTGTCAGATCCTCCTCTTTCTTGGCGGACCGCAAGGGATGTTTGTCGAAAAAGAAAGAACGCCAGTATGCACGGAGACCTTGTTACAGTGAACAATCAGTAAGTATAAAAACTTAACCTACCAAGTTACGCGTTTATGCCACAGCTCTGTCACGTCACCCCAGAGTCCGAAATGGCACCCACAGGGATCGCGATTGCCTCACGGGAAAATTCCTTCCTTATCCTCTTATCCAGAGGTGACTTTGTACCCAGTTACTAATCAGAACAAAATTGAGTGGACTTGTTAAGATAGTTCTTCGCTTCCTTTTCAAGTAAAAAAATATTGAATTATCAGTCAAACAACGAATGGGAAATTGATAGGTTTCGAAACCGTTTTGAGCCGTTTTGATACTAGGCTGACAAGCTTTTTGTTTCGGTTTCAAACTTTCAAATAATTGCATTTACCCTGAAGGACGAGCACGTTCTTGCTAATTTTCAGATTAATCGTAAACCTCACTTTTCACAAACTCTTCTAACTAGGCAAGATCTGACTATGAGATAAAGTGTTCGGAAAGCTTCAGTTAACAATATGATAGTCTAAGCAATTCTGGAGTCCAAACAAGCAGGGAGACAAATTCATTTACCGAAGCTTGACCAAACTAAAAGTGGTTGTGGCTTTTTCATTTTCTAGGCAAGAGCAGGAGTTTTCGAATACTATCCTTCGGAAAACCAGCACTGACTTTTGGATTGGCCTTAATGACTTGATAACTGAAGGCAGGTTTGTCTGGACAGACAACAGTCCACGCAGATACACCAACTGGAATGGCAGTGCACTTTCAAAACACGACCAGCAGTCCCTGGATTGCGTACATATGAATCCTCATAAAGATGAAGGAAGATGGAGGACTGCGTCATGCGATCAGAAGAAAGGGTTCATCTGTGAGACAGGTTTGTGACAATAAAAATGATTTATGAACTGGCACTGAAATAAGCATCCGCAAAGAAAAATGTTCACACAAAGTATGAAAATTTAAAAAATTTGATGTGGGTGAAAAAGGGAAATCTGAATTCATAGTAAGAATTTAAACCTGACACCTTCCGATGACAGGTCAGAAGTCGTATCTACGAGCTTTGAAGAAAAACATCATCGGTGAGATACGCCTTATAAACCGCCGGTTGAGGTCATAGGTGACATATCTTAGATACTACTAATATCAGCCACTCTGAGTCCGCGACCTGTGGGTATGGGAGGAAAGTATTGTTTATCACATAGAGCGCTTTCGATTGAGTGTCGTAAAATCAATTGCAAAACCGAAGCAATCACAACAGCCAATAATAGAAAGGAAAATACCATGAGGAGCTAACGTGAACTTTTGTAAAAACAAGCAAGCTGCCTGAAGCGCGGGCCGGCTGAATCTGATTGGTTGAGAAAGTGGCGCGAGTTTTCTAGACCAATCACACAACGAATTGAACCAAAAACAAAGCAATTCCAATTTACTTTCGACACTCAATTGCAAATTGCTCTGCAAATGTAAGAGACATTATATAGAGAGGTAGATAACCAGTATTAGTAGTTTGAACGGAAACGTGCTTGTTTCGTTTTATGTCGTACTTTTTTTCCTCAAAGAAATCCCTCTCTTGTGAGTTGATATATTCCTTGCGTTTTTAACACGCTGCCATTATCCTTACAGTATATCTAATACTTTAAAAAGAAGGTAAGAAACAATGTAGTAAAATAACAAGAAAACTGGGTGATTACCACACAAACTAAGAAAAAGCTGAAAGAAATGACCGTTAGAGAAATGGTCATGCCACTGGACCAAAATTCGTGGCAGTTTGAATAAAAAAAGGATTTATCTATGAGAATGAATGCTTACGGCGTCAGTGATAGAGTGAAAAAAGCATTACAACGCAAATGACGAATAACCCTACGGGAAAAAAAAAAGAAATCAAGACTAAAAATGTAAAAGGAAGTGAATGAAAAGGCAAAAGAAGTACAGAGCTTGTTAGCCTATATTCCCTATCAGTGTGTGCTCTTTTAATTCTTGATGAAATTATTTCTCTAGGTTGAACTTTTAATAAATTAAAGTAACTTAATGTATGCCATCTAGGTCACTCACATGTACTGATGTCAACGGAGGCTCACCCCATTCTTCCAACTTCTAACCGACTGCTTAGTGAGATTTTTACTACTGTATCTAATTGACCATTTTATGTACTGATGTATTGATGTCAACGTCATGTACTGTCATGTACTGTCATGTACTGTCATGTACTGTCATGTACTGTCATGTACTGATGTCAACGGAGGCTCACCCCATTCTTCCAACTTCTAACCGACTGCCTAGTGAGATTTTTACTATTGTATCTAATTGACCATTTTATCGAGGATTTAATGGAAGTTTGATTTTAACCTTGACCATTAGCTGTGTTTGTTTTGTTTTCTTTTCACAGAGGCTCATCCAATTCTTCCAACTTCTGGCCAACTGCTCGGTGAGATTTTTGATATTGTATCTAATTAACCATTTTAACCATGATTTCATGGAAGTTTGAATTTAACCTTGACCATTAGCTGTGCTTTTTTCTTTTGCTTGTTTGTTGGTTTGCAGCTTAGTAACTTGGCATGCAAGTTTCTAACTTCGCATCACTTTACGTTAACTTGCAATGGGCAACACAGAAACTTGCGACTTGTGATTGTAACTTAAACTTTGCTTCACTTGGTGATGACTTGCAATGACAACTAAGCAACTTGCAATGGTAACTTAGTGAATTGCAAAGGCAATTTGGTAATTTGCCATGGTATTTTAGTGACTTGTAATAGCAATTTAGTAATTTGCAGTGGCAACTTAGTAAGTTGTAAAGGCAATTTGGTCACTTGCCGTAGTATTTTGGCAAATTGCAATAGCAACTTAGCAATTTGCAATGACAATCTTGTAATTTAGCATCATATTTCATCATATTTTAAAACTTTGCCTTAGTACTTTAGTAACTTGCGATAGCAACTGAGCGACTCAGCAATTTGCAATGGCAGTTTAGAACGTTATAATGGCTGTTTAGGAATTTGCCATCATATTTTAGTAGCTTGCATTGGTCACCTAGTTACTTGCAATGGCAATTTAGTGACATGCATTAGCAATTTAGTAACTTGCCATGGCATTCCAGTAACTTACAATAGCAACTGAGCAATTTGTAGAGGCAATTTAGTACGTTACAATGGCAATTTAAGAATTTGCCTTTGTATATACTTGTAACTTTCAATGGCTATTTAGTAACTTGCAATAGCAATTTAGTAACTTGCCATGTATTTTAGTAACTCACAGTAGCAACTAAGCAATTTGCAGTGCCAATTTAGTAAGTAGCTAATTAATTTCCTTTTTATTACCTTTGTATTTGCGGTCACCAACTCGAACCTTGGTGGTGTACTATTAAGTAAGTTGCAGTGGCAATTCAGGAACTTGTTATCGTGTTTTAGTAACTTCCAATAGAAACTTATTAAATCATAATGGCAGTCTTGTATCTTGCCGTGGTATTCTTATACCTTGTAGGTACAGCTCAGTACCATGCGATGACCCCTAATTAAGCAATTTGCTATGGCAACTTTTTGACATGCAATGGCAATATTTTAATAACAATGGCCATTTACCAACTTTTAAAAGCAAACATCCTTGAACTAATCACGTTATGAGGGGTGTGGCTGCATGCAATTTTAGTTTCTCACTGCGCTTTTGTGTAAGATGCACGTAAGGAAGGCGGGCGACCACACAATTTTGTTTCTGAGATTCTGTTACTCTTATCGAGCAGACGGGGTGCGTGACAGCTTGTCAGAAAGGACGAGGACTCTGTACCAGATTGACAACCCTAAGGTTAATTTATAGGAAGTACTTTTAAACCTTTTCTTCTTACTTTAAGATTGTGTTTTCTCTTATTTAGTATGGCTGTTTTGGTAAAGTCTTAACCTTTACTCAGTCACACATTACCAGCGTGTGATCAAAAGCAAAACAGTAAATATGCAGTTGCTTTAAATGCTTATCGGCCGGTGAAAATGAAAAGTGAATAATACAAATAAATACATACTGCATTAAAATGTTGAACCACGACTAAAAAGTTACGCTATACAAAAAAAATGCGCAATAGAGTGAAAATACAAAGATTTGGTGGTTATCTGAATTACAGGAAATCTTTTGCCAAAGGAGAAGGTAAATATTTCCCCAGAGAATCTCCTAAAAAATATTATTTTTAATGTAAAACTTTTCAGCATAACAGCATTTCAGCTGAATTTGACGCAGATCCATGCCTAGATGCTGTAGTGAGATATTCAGATAACAATTTGTATTTTTAATTGAGCTTCCAGTAGTCATCGATTTCATCAGTTTTTATGGCACTAAAAGTTTTTGTATGTACGGTTTTTTCATTTTCCCTGAAGTAAAGGTGTCTCGATGTTTCTAGACGCCCTTTTTGTTGTGTTGTGGTTTCATACCAAAGCCGCCTTTTGATTTAGGTAAGTGGACTGGGAGTAATATGATGTTCAGAATAGCAGAGGGTTTGGGAGAAACAAGTTTTTCTGCACGAATTTTATTTCAGGAGGGCTCTATCTAAGACACACGATCCAAAGGTTTGACCCTAAATCATAACATCTTCATATTGATTAGGTAACTATTTCTCTGGAGGAGATTCATTTTTTCTGATTTTGGAGTTAGAATCCATATTTTATGCTTTGTTGTAAGCTTCACGTTCAGNCTACCTTTCTATAATCAAGAAATAGATAGATATTCTAGTCTTCTCGGATAAGGACGAATAAACCGTAGGCCCCGTCTCCTGCAGGGTTAGGGGTAGGAGACGTTAATTTCCCACGAACGAGATTACTGTGTGGTGGATGTCCTCCCTTGGGTGGGATGGGTGGTGTTGGCCCTGAAAGCCCCTACGGGGAGCGGTCATATGTATGTAGGTAGGTAGGTAGGTAGGTAGGTACGTAGGTAGGTATTACCTTTGGCGTATCTACATTCCCCCGCCCTCAGCCCAGCCTATGAACTTTGACATACTCATCTAGTACATTATTGAGAAGTTGTGCAATTTTTACAACGTGAACCCTAACTGAATTATTTGTGTTTTGTTTCCAGGTCCTCAGTCTTCCACGTTGGAGAAATATTGAGGAAAACTAGATGTGATAAGAAATTTAGACGAGAGAAAGTAAGGGTTGAATTATGCATGGTAATTATATATTCGTCCTGGACTGTCACAGTGACATCTCTTTATGAATTGTTAATTTACTGAGACATGATTAGTTTCGTTACTCATTCTTGGGTCACTCAGGCAAGCGATCTGCCATTTTTCACTGAAGATCGCGGACATAACTACTCAAAGGCATATCATTAAAGACTTGAAGAAAACCACGACGGTGACGGAAACGAGAAGTTGGCGAAATATAAGATTTAATAAAGCTGAACAATTGCTCAGTGTGCGTCTTTTAAAACTTTACAAATCTTCTGGCCCCCCCTGTAGACGGCCGAAAACAATGTGAAATCTCCAAATTTTGCGTTGAAGACCGCCAACACATTGCACTACTCATGCTATTTAGGAGAAACGCAAGTTTATGTGGCTGCATTGTATTCCTAGGCATTGCTGTCGTGACTCCCTAATAGTATCAGCAGCAGAACGTAGTTAGACAATATCTTATAGCACATCATTACCTCACGAAAATTTGACGAAACTCGGCAACATTTTCCATATCCATGCTAGAAGTAGAATCACAAATGAACACTATACAGAACTAGATCTTACTTGTACTGATGTATATCGAGACTGGCGTGGATCTAATTAATTAGTTCGCGACCCTTGTTTAAAATCTTCTCTAACACATAATAAAATTATTTTTCCGTGAGAGAGAGGCTTGATTTAGTGTTGATACGTCCGACAAGGGTCAATGATTACTCTGCGAGGGTCAATTTAACGAGAAACACAAAAAAACGCTTTTAATTTTGTTTCGGCTTATAACGTAGCTTTGTCAATACAAACAACCGAAGCATTTGAGATCATCGCAATAGTGCAAAGAGGGATTTCATTTGCCGAAATACCACTTCTTTGACTATTCTTTGGACGTTGTAGTGGTACTTAGAATTTTTTTTTCCTTAACATTTTGAGTTTCTTAGATATCAGTCTTCCTGTGTTTTCTTCGAACGTAACCAGTTGGTCACCATCGAAAACTTGTTTGACGTCACCGATGTTTTGGTTTATAGACAGTTAATTATCCTTTTGATTTTTACACGGTGAATTGGGCGCCCTTTGAGTGCCTGGGTTTTGAATTCTGGGTCTTTCCAGTGACAAATCATCGTCAAGGCTCTGGTGCGCATGCTTGCTCGCAAGTCTTTATTACATGTAGGCAAAAATGACTCATTGAAAACCATTTTGAAACATTATGTAACAGCGATAAGAAAGTTTGTTTAAGAAGTGTGAAAATTATTTAAGACTTCGACTAGATTTTTCCATTACAAGAGCCTGAGTGCAAGCAGATGTGTATGCGTGTAGGTATTTTAAGACTTCCGCCTTGTATTCTTTTCGTTTGTTTAGTGTTTGATAACATGTAAAATACACGACTCGTGTGAGAAAAGTAAATCTGTCAACTTGTTTTCGTTTCTCTGGCGAAACTTTATCAGTATCAAAAGGAAGTTGTGTCTCAGCTTTGCTGAGAGGTATTTTGTGACCCTTTTGTTTAATCAATACTTTAAGCTTGTTAAATATTTATTTAGTTTTCCTGCGTTTTAGTCTGGTGTTGTTCTGGCGTTCTTAGCATCGGAAACTTGTTTTGCTGCGTGGAAGGTTTGGTTTTGGTCTGACATGCTAATTCAGTTGCATGTCAAACTTGACTGACGCTGTTATCTGGCATGGTCGTTCCGTTGTTTTGCTATGTTTTTTTTTTTTATTAGTTAAGTGTTTAACGCTACTTGACAGACTATCTTTTTTTTAGTATTCTTCTAACTAAACAGGAGCTTAATTTTGGCCTGTGGGAGTGACTTTAGTCAAACGGAATTATCAAAACCATTTCTTTCCCTGTGATAGCACACAACACCTGCTTCAAAGAATTTTTGAGGGATTCGTTGAGAGTAGAGCACTCTTGTCGCATTTAGTAAGAACGGGCTTAATGCCGGTCAAAACCAGATTTTTGCCCTTTTTTCGTTACAATGGCTTTAATTACTGATAACCTGTGGAAATGCATATACATTCGTCCTTTGTAGTCTCATCATCCTCAAATCAAATTAGCATTTATTTCATTTTTTCAATTTAGAGCCAGGTTCAACTCGTGGGTTCGTAGCTCAGTATGTAGTATGTAGTAACATTGTATGTGATAGCATTCAGCCTATCAGTAGGAAGGCCCCATCGAAGCTTCAAGTATTCAGACTTCTTTATTATTTTGTAGGTTTTACGGTTAGCCCAACATCCGTCAGTTCTGAAAGTGAAGTAGTTGCATAGACGTCAATGGGTTGGACTGATAGAATTCAGTACCCGGAAGCTATAATCGCAGTGTCAGTGGGCGCGGTCGTTCTGTTGATCATAGCTTTCGGTGTCTGTTATTGGCACGTAAAGAAATTTCGAGGAAGCTCTTCCACAACGATTCAAAGCCGACACAACATCGGATCACATCGAACGACGTACGTAGCTCAGCCAAATGAGTACGTAGTAGTGCCAGACCTAAAGAAACTTTACGGAGATTGACTTCCTTTACATCATGATAGCTTCGCCCACAAAGCTTGGAACAACCTTTTTCTTTTGAGGTAGAGACTTTGGCAATAGCTTACTTAGTGCTCAGTAGCTTGCAAGTTTTGCTCATCGAAACCGAGAAAATATCACTAAACATGGTCTTATTCATGAGAGTCCTGATTCAAATTTACTCTTAACACACTTGTTTTTGCTTAAGCGATTTACAAAACTAGTTACGTCTAGGATCTCGTCACGCAGTTGATCACCATGTGATATTTCTGATTTTCTTTTTATATATTTGGATTTCAGTTCCTGAAAAAGATGATGATCCACAACTTTAAACAAGGTAAGGAGTAAAAAGTGAATTAACAAATTACGCTACGACCTAGTACCTGAATGTATTTGGTGATTTCACATGGACCTCAAGGATATTAAACAAAACTCGATATAGAAGTCAATTGAATCATCTTTAAATTGAACAACAACAAACATATGAAACATATGAGTGAACTGCGGTTATGAGACGTATATAAGAACGATCCTTCGCAGTAAAGCACTATTTGANCGTATAGATTTTTCTTTTCTTTATCGTATAAGCCAAGTTTATATCCACAACGTGTCGTGTCGTTATAGGCCATTCGCGAGGGTCGACATTAGATACATGACGAGCTTTATGCGACTTTGAAATTCACAGCTGGGTATGGGTTCTAATTTCCGGGGTAGTCAAGAAAATCGAATTAGCAAAAGTACAGATCTGTCATGACTGCACAGTTTGCGGTGATGAAGGTGCTAAGTATATCTTGAGTGCGCTGTACAAATGAAAACCAGATCATGTGTCCATAAATGGTTTGTTTTCGACTCTAATTACACTTAATATATAACAAAGTGCTTCGTCGCGGTTCAGAGAAAGAGGTCACACATGTGCATTTTAAACTCCATCTTTTAAGATTTAATATTGGTCATTGAGAGAAGATACAAATATCAAATATTTTATTTGCACCAAAATGGTCTTTTGTACAAAACACCGCGACTTTAAACACAGATCAGCTCATTACGCCACGAGTTAGGAATTATATTTGCGTACCATATATGCAGCCTAATTTGTTCTTTTTTAGTGATATATCGTCAGTCCACGACTGACTGTCTGCCAAGTTTTGACTTTGACGTAAACTTGCATGTTTTGATCATGGTATGATTTTGTGCATGATCTTCCAATTGGCTTTGAAGTACTAACATTATGTTTGCCCTTAAGGGCTTGGTAATCAGCCAAAGTCTGAATCCAACGGAAGTTACAGTGCTTGCTGTAGCATCCGGCACAAAGTTATCTTGTTTCTCCATGAACAACTGGTAAACAAATAGAATTTTCTGTCTTTGTAATCTTGCCCCAAATTCCGCTCTGTCAGTAGGTTGGTTTTCTAAAATCTTCGACGGTCAATGATCTCTTTTCCCTTAGCGGTCTTAATGGGCTCTAGACGAGGGTACAACTGAAGAGGGAGTTGTTGGGACGTTGTTCACGACTGACTGTCTGATTAACTTGCATGTTTTGACCATGGTATAAACATGTGCATGATTTAGCAATTTACTTTGAAGTACTGACATTATGTTTGCCCTTAAGGCCTTGACATGTCATCAGCCAAAGTCTGAATCCAACGGAAGTTGTCACTTCTGCTGGCTGCTGTAGCATCCGGCGCAAAGTCATTTTGCTTCGCCATTAACATATAGCAAGCAAATAGAATTTTCTTTCTTTGTAATCTTGCCCCAAATTCTGCTCTGTCAATAGGTTGGTTTTCTAAAATGTTCGACGGTCAATGATCTCTTTTTCCTCAGCGATCTTAACGGGCTTTAGACGAGGGTACAACTGAAGCAATTCGCCGGAGTGGAAGCAGCCAAAGGAGGTTATCATTTCATCGCCATGTTTCTCACTTCGCCTCTGTTCAAAACAATTCCTGTTGCTTTCCTAGGCTTTCTGGATAATCATCACACAGATGCATGTTCAGATTAGTGTGAATCCGCGATAAACCATTTCTGCTTTCAGGAATAAGTTAATATTGTTACGTGTTGTTACGCGAATCTCAATATAATCTCTCTTGATTTTGACTCCATCTATTAAATCATAGTTACTTCATGGTACGTGACCATGTATATACACCAAGGTGAAACAAGATCTTAAGAGTTCGATTGATTCTTTATCGTTGGACGTTGTTAATTTAAAACCACATAAGTCTACCATGTCCTCTTAGTTAGCCCGACTAAGACATTCACCTAACTTGCTTCGCAATAGATCCATTACATCATAAAAATATAAAATGACTGCCCAGAAATTTCATCTCTGCCACATGCATTTGTAGGAATTCGAGCTATAAATTCTAGTTGAAAATCTGAAGACGCTCCATGTGGGGTCACTTTAACTCTTCCCATAGAAGCTGCACTGATGAAACTGACTGCATTGCAGACATTTCCCCAAAAAGGATGAAATCGTTGAGATTTTAACAATCATCTCTACCGAGAAGTTCGGAAGTCTTACAAATTGCGATGATTTATAGTTATCAACATGGTTACCGCTCAGTATCGGCAACAGAATTTTGGATTGCCTCTTCGTTCCTATTTCATTAAATGGCTTAGATGTCTAGGGATGTCCACGATAAAGGTCTTCTAGTTACACCTGGAAGAAACCGGATGTGGGCGAATGAAATCACATTTACAAANGGTCCAACCAAGATATTCCGCCTTATTAACAAAAAAAAAAAAAAGACAAAAAAAGAAACGAAAGAGTTGATTACCTACTTCAACAGAGAAGGCTGAGAGGAAAACAAAACAAAGAGTTTATCATTGTTTACCAACTAACCCAAAAGGAACTCGTGGAGATACGGTACTTAGTGATTTATAATCTAATGAAGGGCAAGTCAAATTATTTCATTTAAGAAGTGAGCTGGTTCCAGCTCGTGAAATAAGTTAAACCAAATTGTATTGTTTGGTACCAACAGTTGTTTCGTACAAAACTAAATTACTCTTGTTGGTGAGCCTCCCCCTCTGAAATCTCGATTTCCTCTTGATGTGTGGTATTTCCAAAGAGTAGTATGTGGATAAAATCGAAAACCTTTCTAATAGCCTTTCATTTGCCAAGAAAAAGCTATTAGCTTTTAATAACTGGATAGACTTCATCCAGACCTCAATGAAAATGCAACAGCAATTATGACAAATGATTGGCTACATGATGATATTCGTCACTGAACAGCGAATCCTAAAGCAAATCCTTTGCTCTTCTTCTTTAAATATCTTAATATAGCTGCAAGATTAAAAGAAAAGATCACAGTTGCTCCAATATTCACGGTGTCGCAAGGCAAGATAAGACGCAACCTTCTTGCGGTACCTGTTGGCAACTCTGTAAAGCTTGATTGTTCTGCCGATGAACACCCTTCTCCTACAGTAGAATGGTACAAAGACGGGAAATTGTTTAAGGAAAGGAAAGGCGGCAGAAAACTCTATTTGAGTCAATGGACAACCTCGTTGAGTCTGAAGGACTTGGTTCCTTCTGACACTGGGTCATACATGTGTAATGTGAGCAACTCATACGGGTGGATTAATCATACATACAAAGTGCATGTTCATGGTCAGCACAAAAACTCATGGTAAACCACTTTTAAAAAACCAAATTGAAATCAACATTGCAAGTAACGAAATGATGGATCTTTGTAATTTTTTTAGAACGAGCTCGTGCTGAACCAGTGGTTCTACCCATGGTTAATGTCACTGTTAATAGAGGAGAAAATGTCAGCTTAACGTGCAAAGCATTAAGTGATTCCATGCCTCATTTCCAGTGGTTAAGGTGGCTTCCCATGCGTACCAACGGTTCGGCTAACGGGACAGCAGACGGTTCTATCGAAAGTCCACACTACGAAATCGTGAAAAAAGACGAAACAGACAAACATGTATTAAGTGTAATTGTGCCTGCAAGTAAGGGCAATAAGTTTGATTTCCACGATGAGAACTTGACTTTGGTGAATGTCACAAAGAAGGACGAGGGAAAATACACTTGCATTGTGGGAAATGCTTTTGGCTATGCACTCGAACATGCATACATCATTGTCCAAAACATCGGTGGGTGAAACCATTATTAGGTTACTAATTCTTAGCAATTTCTGTTATCATTAACTTTACTATTATCAGAGTCTTAGGAGCTCCCTGC